TTTGCTTCAACTTAAACTGCTCCTGGTGACATTTTGAAACTAACTCGGGGATTTCACATCATTTTTTTGCGATATGTCACAAATGCGACTCTTTAGGCCTCTTATTGGGAATTAGATTCATTAGTATGGTATGAATAATGTGAGCTAAATTTCTTCTGAAAACAAAGAGCAGTTGAAACTGATAATTGCGAGCTTTCGAAAACGTTAGTCAAAGGAATGGGATAATATGATTATCCTTCCGCTCCTTATATCTTAATTGTTCGATAAGGAAAAATAAAGAACTCATCTGGATTAGGATGGGAGATAGGTTGATTAATAAAGCCAGAGGAGAACATCAGCTGAGTCATATTTATGACCCCATTTTAACATCCTCTAAGGCATGGAATGAGTAAATATGATACCTATCTATCTGACTGCCTGGACTATTAGAGTGAGATTCGAAATATATGACTCGATATTATTCTGACAGTTGACTTTACTCTCTCGGCTTAATTGTTCTCAACGAAATGGAGTCTCAATACCGGCCATTTATTTTCTTTGCTTGACAAAGGAAACAGACGTTTTTGAAAGCTCGCAATTTTTTTCAATTTCTGTGTTCAGAACAAAAATGTCATATACTGTTTCAGACTGTTTGTAAAAATATGGTCACGACGTTCCATTAACTCGGTATTTTATGAAACTTATGAAACTTGCCAACAAGCGATTGGAGATACCACTAGCATTATAAACATCCCTTATCACAAGTCTAAACCACACTGAATCATCTTTTTTATTCTTTTATAAAACCAATAGCATTTCCTGCTTTTAAACAGAGCAATGGTTTCTTGAAAAACTCTACAACATCCGTGTTATAGTACTTTTGAAAGACGAAATACTGGCGAACTACACACTTCCGGACATTGCCGCACGTTCGTCACATTGAGAAATTCGAATCTTCGAGGTTCGATTGAGGGAGTTTGACTGTATTCTAATATTTCCGTAAATATTTTTTTAGATCTTTAACAAGTACCCTTAAAAAGAATACCATTGACTAGTTGGTCAATAAGGGCCACTTTACATGTTTTCCTCAAAAACATTTCTACTGACATGAGTTTTTTAGTCATGCATATCAAACTGAAGGAACTTCTTTAAAATTCCATGACAAAGGCAAAGCGGAACTATACTGAAGATACAATAGTGAGGATAACTGAGCTCCTGGTTAATACTGTCTTCGTTAATTCCAGTGGTAGGATTCAGTAGCGCCTTCACTTGGCAACAGATTTGCCTCTCTCCTTGCGATTCGGTTGTGTTTCCACCCGAGCATGAATTTATTGAATAGCTCACCAAAACTGATAACAAAACAAGCTCACCAAAACTGATAACAAAACAAGTTCACAAGTTTCCAGGTTATCGCTGTCACTACCTTGGTTCTCATTTGTGGACTTGACAGTATTTGGATTTGACCTAGATTGACACGACAGGTGCCATCGACTAAACAGAGTACGCTTACCCTACAATATCACATGATCTTATTCCCGAGTATTTATGTTCCTTATCTTGCATTTGTTCGTATTCTACCCTTGTTTCGCCGATTTGAGTTCTAATATGATTTTTTCACTATTCGTTATTCTCTTAATGAGATGGGGTTATATTTCAGTTATATATGTACCGAAATGACTCAATTCAGCTACGCTTTGTTAACACTTGGTCATAGATGTGCGAGAGTCTTTGACCCCGTCGTCTCGATTTAGAACTGGCCCAATGCGGCGTATCCAGATGTCTTCCTTTATCTGTCGCTTGAACAGATTGCTCTCATTTGTTTACCACCACTGATAGGGCGGGACATAATTTTGTGCGGAGCGTAAAATAATTCGAAAAGAAATGGCGCTTAGTTGTTGACTGCTACTATGTAATGCAGGTGTGCGAGGGGGAAAATCCCGATATACCGCTTGTCATGTGTAGAAACTGATCGACGTAGTATTTCAGAGAAGCGGGCAGCACATGTATTGGATTGAGGTTATTAAATAAGGATTTACACCATTCCTTGGATTTATTTCTCGAGTTTATCCGTGAAACCTGGTCATTTCTCGTGAGGATATAATTTGGTTTGGTCGCAATTTAACGGTGTAATTGCGACTTTAAAGCGATGTCAGTGGATAACTATGTGTCAGACAATCGTAATTAGGATTTCATTTTGTATATAAATCACTTGTCACCAATATTCAACCGAGGTATATCCAATAAGGACAAAGATTTGTGATTGACACGAGCTGAATGAGAAAAGGGGGTAACGGATTTCAGTCTGTTGTTATATCCCTTTGTATTTTTTAGTAAAGGAGACCCCTATTTTTTAATACTACAAGTAAAGCGATCCATGTCTCTGTGTTATCCCAGTCAATCACATGGTTTTTCTGTGTGGCATGATCTGTGATTGCGGATTTATTTATCTGGGACTCCGACTGTTTTCTTTCAGATGTGGTGAATTTCCTACCGTCTTGGGTTTCTGTATCTTTCCGGTGTTCACCAAGGCGGACCCAAAATAGCCTTCCAGTCTCTCAAATATACGACGCGTTGCAGTTCTTGCATCCGATTTTGTATACGCATTATGCGACGTTTTCTTTAGGCGTTTTATCCTTAGGGTGTACTAGGATATTGCGAAGCGTCTTGTGGGGCTTCATGGCTGTTGCTATGCAATGACCGCGATATATCCTCTGGATGGTTTCGTATATACCCTTTATATATGGGATGACCATTTGACCTTTGGTTTTGTTCTTATCCTTGATTGGCCCTTTCTTCTCCTTACTTTGACACTGTTTTTTACCCGTTTTGTCCTGTTGTTTCTGTGACTATTGTATCACATATGTTGAGAAATGTGCGTATGACACCTAGCTTCTGGTGTAAAGGATGGTGAGATTTTAAGTTCAGGTATTGGTCCGTATGGATCTTTTTTCTATAGACCAATACCTTCACGGTTCCGTTTTCTTTCTTTTTCAGTAGAGAGTCTAGAAAGGGCATTGTGCCGTTGGTTTCTTCCTCACATGTACATTTGATGTTGTTAGTGGCATCTATGGTGTTGATATGTGTGGTCAAATCTTTCTGTGACCTCTTCTTGATTATCTCAAGTATGTCGTCAACATAACGTTTCCATAAGCTATGCTTGCATTCTATGGGGGCAGTGGCTATTGCTTCTTGCTTCAGATGTTCCATGAACAAATTGGCAACAATGGGAGACACTGGACTACCCATAGCAATGTTGAAGCGTTGTTGACAGATGTTGTTCCGGAAACTAAAATATGTTGGTGTGAGCACAGACTCTAGCAAATCCATGATGTCCTGAAGGTTTGTGTTTTTGCGCCAGGTTCTGTCTAATTCTAAGCGTTTTCGAATGATTTTAAGTGCGTCTTCAATGGGTGTGTTGGTAAAGAGAGAGACAACATCACGTGAAATGAATTCTTCGTCTTCCTGAATCATGATGGTAGATATAGTTTCTGCTAGATGTTTTGAATTCTTAACATGGTGGTCCAATTTACCCACTAGCGATCCAAGAATGACTGCTAATGATCTGGAAACATTGTAACCAATGGGTCCAGTGTAGTCCACAATATGCCTTAGTTGGTTTCCATGCTTGTGGATCTGTGGTGTACAGTACATTCTAGGGGTGTTCTCTGCTGTGGGATACAGATATTTGTATTTGCCCTCGGTAATCTTGCTCACTTGTTTTAATTTTGATAGGAACCTATCCAACCCAAACGTTTAAAAGGCGTCTCAAAGCCCTCCTATCAAAATTAAAACAAGAGAGCAAGATTACCGAGGGCCAATACAGATATCTGTATCCCACAGCAGAGACTGGAGCCATCTAGATACGCCGCATTGGGCCAGTTATAAATCAAGACGAGGGGGCTCAAAGACTCTCGCACATCTATGACTAAGTGTTAACAAAGCGTAGCTGAATTGAGTCATTTCGGTACATATATAACAACTATTGTACATACCTTTCCAGCGTAGCTGAAATCGACATCGATTTTATGGACAACTCGTACACATATAACACCTTTGTGTGCATACGCTTCATTGGTCATTTGTCTGATGAAGGTGACAGTGTACATATCGTACTAGTCATCGAAACGTCACATAGGAAATGTTATTGGTTGTGTAAAAATAACTTCTCATAATCCATACTTACCAACCTGAGGATAATGTTTAGAAAACAAATTGTTTTATGATTGTTGTAAAATAAAAAAATAATTTTTTTTACCGACGTTACATACCTTGCAATGGTATAGTAGGCAGTACCTCCTACCTATACCTAAGGAGGGGATGTTAGCCAGATTATTATATCTACAGTAGCCAAGGTAAAATGTAGCATCCTGTATCAAAATCCGATAATCATACACAATAGTCAAAACAACATTCCTAAAACAGCAGAACACGAATTGTATATTGTTAACATTGTAATCAACTAATAAGGTCATTTTATTGAGAGATAGAAATAAGGTTTCATGATAATTGTTACATGTAAGATGTTTAGCACGTATGTCATTAAATACATATCTCTTTAGCAAAATTACTTTGGGAGGATCATCGAACCCTATCCCGCTACAGCACTCTACGACAGAAAAAAATGAAACAAACAGTTTTCAATATAAAACCCGACACCCAAAACAGAATGTTCAGCCCATTATATGTTGTATATTGATTAAATCAATCAGTGGCATGTACATTTCAAATGGTGAAATCTAAAAGCGATTTCATGATTTGATATGAAAACGATCATCATGAGAAAGTATTCATTTTGGTTTAATGGATATTTCATTTATTTATGTATCACCATTAACCAAGGACATTGTTATGTATACATTCACTTCATGGAACAATAATCCGTCAACTAATTTCACATGTTGACGCCCCTTCATGCTTGTCTGCGCCATTACGAAATATCGCCATAGCAGCGACAATCAATGTCACGTATATTACTCGCTGTCGCTGATGCCACATTGTCATAATGATCTAAGCGACTCGGATCTCAACACGTAAACTGTTTTCATTGAGAGACACCGTCCTAATTCCTCAGAGTATCTGCTGCTATTAAGTTCTTTCAGATGTTAAAATTAGTTGAATTATATTAAATGTGATTCTTTCACCAGTTTGATGGAAATGAGAAAAGTCTGACCGGTAATGATCGCGGACAGCAGGTAAAGTTACGTGAAGTATTTAGACAAAAAGGCGTTTAACAGATACGCCGCGTTAATGGTGAACTAGCGAAGTGTTGTATTAGAAGCCGTTTTTGTCATCGCTTTTGTTAATGCGATCCATGAACTTACTAAAGGGTTTATTTGGGATTTAATCAGAATTACGACGAAACGTTAATGGGTAATCAAAGAGGACGTGACTAAACGGATGTAAGATATCAAAGTGGATCAACAAAGAATATCGGATATGTTTTGTTCACGAGCAGTACCATATATAGTGTTGTGCCTGTGTTTGTGTAGATGTGTGGCTGCAGTCGCGTATGTCAGAGGAAAGGGAGCTAGCTTCCCTCACGAGGTCTACAAAGAATGGAGATCTGCGTACCGTCTTTACAGAAGTGCACATGTCACACTGGAAATGTCATATGATGCAATCGGGAGTGGAAACGGGAAGAAAGCTATCCAGGAAAATGTGGACATTGAGTATGCTGGTTCCGACTCCTTGTTGTCCGATTCCACCATTGCCAGCCATCCCGACCTTGTTTTGTTCCCCATTATGGCAGGGTAATTCACACGACATCACTTTACCTCTAATGTCCCTACCTTTTCCTTCTTGTGATTTCAATTCATGGTATTTTACGTTAAGACTACTTATTTCACTAATATCTACTATATTGTTTTTCTAGCATGTCGTTAAGTCATTTGTTCCTGTTAGTGTTGATTTTATATATTAACTGACATATTCATTTCCTCGCCCTTTAAAATTGGTACTGTTGTTTCAAATTGAATGTCTATTTTTTGCTCTTTTTTAATTTTCTTGGTCTAAATATGAAACGGTTAATTGAATATTGTTACAGTATAATACAGATAAACCGTAGTCGTATTGGTACAGATCCAGCGATATAAGTCTACAGGCAATAACCGTTATCTTTTCTGTTTGATATTGATCTACCAAGAAGCATCTACATTTTTATACTCAATTAAATTAAATTGCCATTGTGACAGCAATCGGGACATGCGTTTCAGCGCCCTACTTCGGCACGCAAAAGCGACCAAAATCGATATAATGCCCTCGTGCAACATTTATAATTAATATATTTTAACTCCTTTTAACTTTTTTTTTATTTCTGACTCCTTACTTTCGGCCTTTTATTTGAGCTTTCGTCAAGCCGTTTGTTTAGCCCTTTAAAATTGGTACTTGGTTAATTGGTAGCAGTACGACTGGTGAACCCGTTGTCATAATGATGTTTCAGTAGGGTAGCACTTGTCATATCGGCCTCAGACCGACTTTCATACAAGACACAACGCCTCCGGCACATATTACACACACGGGGGCATGTCGTTAATGGCCTAAGCTGTCGATAGGATGCTAAACCAAACCAAACCAAACTAAACCAACGACTACATGGTATGATAGATAGAACAAATTCATTTCTTTCCAAACTATAATCTGTTTACAAATGAGACATTTAATATTGTTACACCTCAAGTGAATTTCTAGCTATTTGATTGGTTGGGAGAAAATTAAACAAAAATCTCTGTCACCCTCCGAAAATACATTGGTTTTAAGGGGCGCGGGTGATATTGCCATGAGACAGTGAAAAATATCACATGCGCAAAAAATGTGCGTGCACCGCTTCGTTTCCCCACCGTGATGGTCACAAGAACGTTTGACGGCAACAGCCAATTTCATCAGGCGCCGGTGCGATAGCGATTGTAAACAGCAGACTATCAACAAACAAGATGTCATTATCGAGGTTTGCTGCCGTTTCTGAGCTACATTGACTTTTGGTGTAACAAAATAGATATTACATTCATTAGCAGGTGACAGTGAATATTGTCACCTGCTAATGAATGTAATATTTATATAATGATACCATCGCCATATTTAATATAGCTCTCACAACCAATTTCGATTATTGGATATCGTATGAGGGTCAACAACGTTTTCCAAAATGTTAAAAAAAATAAAGAACTCCAACATGTGCGAACAAATTTCAAATTAGGTTTTGACTAGATTCTTAAAAAATTGCTGTCTCTATAATACCCCATGGATCTTTTAAAATCAATTAAGAAGGGGTAACAGCATGTTGTTTTCACTCTAAAGGATCATCCTCGTCTTTTAAATTAAAATACCCATACTTTGCTACGTGCTCTAGATCTAATGCTAGATTTCACTCGTGATGGGGAGTTCTGAACTCGAATTGATAGCTTGGAAGTAATGGTGTCTGCTGATGTCGGTGATGACCGAGGTCTCTCTGAATAAAGTCTGGTAATCCTGACAGTTACACAAATTGGCGCATACTATTGTAAAAGGTATGCCTCTCAGTGTTTATATAGCCTTAATTGTGTCTCACCTTAGTACTGAGTCAGAAACGCCTCGTTAGCCTTTGTTGCCGGAATAGCCGCAGGTGTTGTGTCTGACACATCACAGCTTTGGATGTGTGAGAAATCAATTTACAAACAACAAGGCTGCGAATACATCAGATATAACAATGATATGTGTAATAAAGCCCACCATTTTTATAAAATCTCTGACATAATCCTTCTATAACATTATAATTTTTGGGGAAATAATATTTCAATGTTATTTAAGTCACAAACTAAGCTAGATAAAACAGAATGTGCAGTGAGTGCATGATAAAAAGTATATTTTAAACCCAGTCGCTTCAATGGCAAATCCAAATGAAAATGCATCTGTATACGTACGAAACATGAAGGTCATCCTGCATTACCAGCAAATCAAACTTCACATTTTAAAATAATCATTTTACTGTAGTTGAGGTGGCACATTCCATTTTTTTTTTTTTTATTTGTAAAGTAACTTTGATAAGTAAGGAAACAAAGCAGGACCTGGAACTCACTTCAGTCGCAGGTGCTGAGTAAGTTTTATATGATGTATATAATATCCAATATCTATTATCAACAGCTTATAACTATAGCATAAAACGGGTGGTCCGGACCTTCTAATTCACGATGTGTCCAGAAGTAATAACTCAGCATAAAACAAAAAGAAAGTGTGTAGTGAATATGCATTTAATGTAAGTGTACTCCAACGAGTAAAGTTGCAAATGTCAATGCAATATATAATTTAGAAAAGAAATTATTGAGAACACAAAATACTTTTCATTTGAAAATTATCTTAAAAAATTCCATTACCTAATCTTCCGTTTGTATAAACAATCTTTAAGTGACGATTGGATTTCTGTCATTTTTCATTCTTTTATGAATCATATGCCTGTTTAGTTTACACATATTTAAAAAACGGAAACATTATTAGTTCGGTTGTTTTAGCTCACAATGAAAACAACAAATTATATTTATGATTTACCCTACCCCTTTTGGTAACCAAAAAACCCACTTTGTGCATGTAATACAATAGGACATCTATAAACAAATTAAGGAGATTAAAATCAGGATATACCGGGACCAAAAAGGGCCTTTTAGACACTCATCCTTTATGATATATAATTGTCGTTATAACATGTTTCTACTCCTATGTCACAAGCGTCTGCCTGAAGAGATACATGATACTGTATAGGTTATCTGATTCTGCCACAGTTGACTTAAGCCAAATGGTCCACATAACGTTTCTAGATCGGGGTCGCTTACACGCTTTACCGTATGTATAATATGGCTGTGTCAATCACGAAAACTAAAGTTTATTATCAACAGCACCATCACAGTGTTTTCACTGTAAATAATCACTCCCAGTAAACATATTCATGAAGGTGGTCTCTCCACTTTGAAAAAATTGATTAAGAGTCCGGACTTTCGTTGAACAGTAATAATTACGACATTCAACGTTTTGAGCCACCTGTCATATGACTTTCCATTATCAGGTAACCATCTCACAGCTTATGGGACTTGTAAAGGGAAGCGAAAATGAACTCATCCATCGGAAACTTAAATGCTCTTTTCGTTTTACATGTCACCACTCTCCAAACCAATCCCATTGCGCTCAAATTAACATCCTGGTTAATTGAACACTATTGGTCAGCAGTATGAATCTATCTAGATAATCTTTATGACACCTCTATATTTAAAAGGCAGTTACTAAATACATCCCTAATGATCTACTTGTTCACCCATGTTACCTGAAACATATCTGTTATTGGTCAAATATATTACTACTGAGGAAGGTTTACGGCCTGTAGAAATGGCAGGTCAAAATTCACTTAATGTAGTCAGTTAAATTGCAACATCGCAATGGATAACAAAATATTCAAAAGTATATAATAGATAAATTTCACATTGCTAGCAAAACTATATATACAAGGAATGTTACAAGTATTGTACGAAAATCTTTATCAAGATATTACGCTGCTGAGATTATAATTTGGCTATGTGTAACAAGACTTTTAAGAATATGACTGCCATATTTTATTCTTCCTTCACAAATTAAATCTCAAAATATCTCTAGTTCAGCTTCCTAATTTGGTATGTAAAGCTAAAATGTACTTATCCTAGGATATGATTGATATTTGTCAGGAAACGACAAGATATAAAAATTGCTAAACAGACGTATTATTGTCAATGGCACGCCAAAAGCCGTTGTACCCGGCCATTCGATGGTGACTCCACTATAAAAGTCTCACTAATTTCTTCTTATTATTTTCACAGTGTTTGCTGCTTTCTGATTAGAATATTAACTGTTAAATGTTCGATAATGATGTCACTTTTATATTCTCACTTATCTCTTATTATTATTTTCACATTGTTTGCTGCTTTCTTATTGGAATATTAACTGTTAAATATTCGAAAATGATGTCACTTTCATATTCTCACTAATTTCCTATTATTATTTTCACATTGTTTGCTGCTTTCTGATTGGAATATTAACTGTTAAATATTCGATAATGATGTCACTTTCATATTCTCCCTAATTTCTTATTATTATTTTCACAGTGTTTGCTACTTTCTGATTAGAATATTAACTGTTAAATATTCGAAAATGATGTCACTTTCATATTCTCACTAATTTCTTATTATTATCTTCACAGTGTTTGCTGCTTTCTGATTAGAATCTTAACTGTTAAATATTCGATAATGATGTCACTTTCATATTCTTGCTAATTTCTTATTATCATTTTCACAATGTTTGCTGCTTTCTGATTAGAATATTAACTGTTAAATATTCGAAAATGATGTCACTTTCATATTCTCGGTTATTTCTTATTATTATTTTCACAGTGTTTGCTACTTTCTGATTAGAATATTAACTGTTAAATATTCGAAAATGATGTCACTTTCATATTCTCACTAATTTCTTATTATTATTTACACAGTGTTTGCTGCTTTCTGATTAGAATATTAACTATTAAATATTCGATAATGATGTCACTTTCATATTCTTGCTAATTTCTTATTATCATTTTCACAGTGTTTGATGCTTTCTGATTAGAATATTAACTGTTAAATATTCGATAATGATGTCACTTTCATATTATCACTAATTTCTTATTATTATTGTCACAGTGTTTGCTGCTTCTGATTGGAATATTAACTGTTAAATATTCTATAATGATGTCACTTTCATATTCTCACTAATTTCTTATTATTCTTTTCACAGTGTTTGCTGCTTTCTGATTAGAATCTTAACTGTTAAATATTCGATAATGATGTCACTTTCATATTCTCACTAATTTCCTATTATTATTTTCACATTGTTTGCTGCTTTCTTATTGGAATATTAACTGTTAAATATTCGATAATGATGTCCTTTTTATATTCTCACTTACTTCTTATTATTATTTTCACAGTGTTTGCTGCATTCTGATTAGAATATTAACTGTTAAATATTCGATAATGATGTCACTTTCATATTATCACTAATTTCTTATTATTATTGTCACAGTGTTTGCTGCTTCTGATTGGAATATTAACTGTTAAATATTCGATAATGATGTAACTTTCGTATTCTCACTAATTTCCTATTATTATTTTCACAGTGTTTGCTGCTTTCTGATTAGAATATTAACTGTTAAATATTCGATAATGATGTCACTTTCATATTCTCACTAATTTCTTATTATTATTTTCACAGTGTTTGCTGCTTTCTGATTAGAATATCAACTGTTAAATATTCGATAAAGATGTCACTTTCATATTCTTACTAATTTCCTATTATTATTTTCACAGTGTTTGCTGCTTTCTGATTAGAATATTAACTATTAAATATTCGATAATGATGTCACTTTTATATTCTCAATAATTTCTTATTATTATAGTCACAGTGTTTGCTGCTTTCTGATTAGAATATTAACTGTTAAATATTCGATAATGATGTCCTTTTTATATTCTCACTTATTTCTTATTATTATTTTCACAGTGTTTGCTGCTTTCTGATTAGAATATTAACTATTAAATATTCGATAATGATGTCACTTTCATATTATCACTAATTTCCTATTATTATTTTCACAGTGTTTGCTGCTTTCTGATTAGAATATTAAATGTTAAATATTCGATAATGATGTCACTTTTATATTCTCACTAATTTCTTATTATTATTTTCACAGTGTTTGCAGCTTTCTGATTAGAATATTAACTGTTAAATATTCGATAATGATGTCACTTTCATATTCTCACTAATTTATTATTATTATTTACACAGTGTTTGCTGCTTTCTGATTGGAATATTAACTGTTAAATATTCGATAATGATGTCATTTTATATTCTCACTAATTTCCCATTATTTTTTTCACAGTGTTTGCTACATTCTGATTAGAATATTAACTGTTAAATATTCGATAATGATGTCATTTTATATTCTCACTAATTTCCCATTATTTTTTTCACAGTGTTTGCTACATTCTGATTAGAATATTAACTGTTAAATATTCGATAATGATGTCACTTTCATATTCTCGCTAATTTCTTATTGTTACATATTATTACGCTATATTGCTGCTCTTCATTATTGGTCTGTTGACTGTGAAAATAACAAATGTGTGCTTTTACACTTTAATATTAAAACTTCATTTTCATCTCAAACCGCAGATGTCACATGCAAAATGTGCTAATATGTGCTATCTAATTTAGCATATCTGTGATAGGTTATCTCCCCTGATATTTGTATATTTTATACTAGTGTTACATATATCCTTGCATTATTTCGTCATCGATTGTTAGCCTATTTTATTTCGAATGTTTCCCAGCGAAGAACTCTTTTAACAACTCTTGTACAGGTAAACACAAAATCGCTATGACTTTCGATAATCTGGCATGTCGGTTATCGTGATATTACAGTGTACCCTATGTATGCAACCGACATTATTATTCGCTACTTATTATGTACATGTACCAATTAACTTCAAGTAAAAACTAAACAAAAAACAACAGTTTACTTCCGTCACAGAAACATCAGTTTCATGTTGTTCAGTGCTGTGAGCCTTAGTCGGAAGGATCGATCAATTGTAATATTAAAATAAAATGCGATCCATGATCAGTTTCTTTAATTTCCATCCAAAGTGAATTACAAAGTGTATGGATCAATGGCGGGAGATTATTATCTCTGTATGGCCGGATGTACTTCCGACTGGTATGTTTTACCTGTGCTACACTTGTACAGTATATAAATATCACATTCATTAGATCGCAGGGAAATATTGTGGCAGTTCCGGAACGGCCCTGGAATCCCATTAGTCCAGTTTTTATTCAATTTCAGAAGAAGGTTGGATCTATTGAAACATCAATTTTACTTTATGATCTGTGCTTCCTTACAGCTGCATACATTTCCTTTTTAAAGAGTTCTGTCTTTTGTTTGCAATTGTGGTGTGGATTTATACTTTAAAATGTGACATTGGAAAGGTAAACAATATAACGTGTGCTAATATAACATTAATGTAAAGATACACAATAGCACAGGTATTGACTGACCGACAATGCTTTGGTAAATTTGCACAATATTACAAGTATTAATTGAAGACACTAGGGGAAATACCCATACTAATACATGTAGCTCACAGGTACTTCTACGTGGTTTGGTTTCGATTTTATAGGGTTAAATGTCATATTAACAGTAACAGTCATTTAAGGACTTGCCAAATTGTGCGTTATGTGAGCGTGCATGTGTGTGTATATGTGTGCCGGAGGCAGGGTATGTTGGTGTACTTACCTCCTTGTGATCTTATGCCGGCGTTATAGTGCTATCTTACTTAAATACAATACCGATGGCACCTTACATAGTATTCCGCCCGGTCACATTATACTGACAACAGATAAACCAGTTGTTGTCATTACGTTAATTGCTGAATGTTAAGCAGTGAATAACAACTACCATTCTAAAGACTTTTGTATGTCCCGGCCTAGTGCCGGAACCCATTGCCTTCCTCATCTGGACAAACGTTCAACATTAAAGCCAAAAGCTAGGTTTTGCCAAGCAAGGCGCTGAGAAATAAAAGCTGGTTAGAAGTAATTAGAAATATAAAAAATACCAAATATTGCAATGGGCGCAGTAGATTTATTTTGTTCGCTTTTGTTTCCCCAAGTAAAGGGCATAAAAGCAAATCCAAAATTCTGCAGGGAGGGTTCCCACATTAGTTGCCTCCTACGATACACGCAGTGTGTAGCAAGAGGTGTATTATTCTAGATCTTTGACATGCATGGGTGTAATTCTATGTTATAACATAATATAAATATTATGTAATGAGTATGTGTTACACTAGTAACAGTGTAATGTGTAGGGTAACAGAAAGTAACAATAGTCATCTCTGTTCAGGGGAAGCAAAAGTTCCGGAGTTTCATAGTCTCCTAGTCTTGAAATTAAAACTGCATGTGTTACAGGATGATCAAAGGAAAATAAAATGCTGCTTCTGTATGACTACGACTCCCATACGACCCTCAAGCTATCTGTGTACATGCCTTAAGTATTCGTGGTAAACTTTATGAAACATCACATCGTATTCTACTATTAATATATTCTGATTATCCAAATAAGTTTAATCTTATTGGATACAATGTTAGCAGGGCCAGCAAAAATGACAATATATCGCTCTCCTTTCTTTTGTTGAACTACTTCATGTAATAATACGTTTGATCATTTCTAGCATGTTGCTCCTTGACCTGTTGCGGTAACTCTCACTTTTTTATCAACTTGTACAATTCAAGTTTAATCTCCACACTAAACGATTGTGGGCCAAAGAAAACTGAATAATTATGTCTCCGATTTACATTGCAGTGCGGTGATGCTAGGCTATAATATTCCAGACTTGGGCGGGCGTCTTGTGCTCACGAGATCAACTATTGTTGGCATTTTCAACGGCACTTACACTTGGTGGAACGACACCATATTTACCGCCACCAACCCCGGCCTTAACATGCCTCAGAAAGAGATCATCGTCATAGCAAGGGCAGACAAGTCTGGTACTACTTCCCTCTTCACTGAGGCACTCGGTGCTTTCAGTCCCAATTGGAAACAACAATACGGGATGTTTTCAAAAGGATACGATTCTGTGAATAATGTCCCATATCATTGGGATCCGACCGTCATCAATTATTACGGTCAGCAAAACAGAGGGGTGTCGGGGTTGATTCTGTCCTTCAGAAATTCAATCGGTTACTTGTCAGTAGCTGATATTTATGAGGCAGACATCAATGCCGCAACAATTGTGAACAAAGCAGGTAGACTGATCGACGCTAACTCCAGTACAGTACAGAGCGCCATGGATTACTTTTCGGATAGAAATACTAATCTAACATTTAGCTTAGCAGATGCCGGCTCTGAGAGTGCATATCCGATAGCTGGATTTACTCACATCATCATTTACAAGACAAAAATGAAAAACTGTCAGTCTTCTAAAGAGTTAATACGGTACCTTTATTGGGCAATGACCGATAAGGACCAAAGAATCACGTGTGACAGGAAAGGTATGTCGCCATTGAGTACTAGCATGGTTCAGCGCATAAAGTCGGTCGTTTTGACACATGTGACCTGTCACGGCGCAAATGTGTGGGCTATGGTAGAGAGCGATATAGCGGCTGAAAATAAGGAGGTACAACAGTGGATCCTACCCGTGTCGATCACAATTCCTATAGTGTCACTGTGCATATTAGCACTGTGTTCTTTTATTATCAAGCAGCGCTTGCACATCCAGAAAATGATTGATAATGACGAATGGTTTATTCCAATAGAGGACATCCTTTTCTACTTTGACGGAAGAGACAGGTCGTCCATGAACTCGCGTATCGCTGATCGACCTTCTATAATCTCCAACGCGTCCGTCCGAGACATTCAGGACGATGATATCCTTATCAGGCAGATTATACAGTGGCCAGGAAAGTATCGGGGAAGTCAAATCGGCATTCGATTGATTGAGGTCACGGAACTGAATCAGCTGACTCGGCAGACCAAACATCAACTGTTGTTGATGAAAAACAGAATCTCACACATCAACGTTGTAAGAATGTTTGGTCTGACGGAGGTAGACGATAAAAAATACTTAATTGGAGACTACTGCAGTAAAGGACGAATGACAAACGTTCTTCGCGATGACAAGTTCAACTTGTCTAATGATTTCAAATGTACGCTTGCAGGAGACGTGGCAAACGGTATGCATTTCCTTCATTCCAACGATATTATACACGGTTTTCTTCGGTCTGATGTTTGTCTTATCGACGCGAGGTGGCAGGTGAAAATTTGTGATTGGGAATACGGGACGCTTTTGTCATCACAAGCACCAAATATATCCCCAATTTTGGTCATGCGTAAAAAATCAGACAAAGATCTAGGAACACATGATATAGCTTTCAAAAACTTTTGGGTCAGTCCGGAAATATTGAGGTCTGATTTTAAGCTCAACCCAACAAAAGAATCAGACGTGTATAGCTTTGCTATCATTCTGCAAGAAATTTTCACTCGGGAAGAACCGTATGCAGAACATGCAGACTCTTTGACACCAACGGAAGTGATAAGGGCGATAACTCTAAACACCCTTCGCCCAGAACATAGCGAAGAAACTCCAGTCAACATAAGGCAGCTCATGGAAATATGTTGGAACGACCACGCCATATCCCGTCCTTCATTCGAGCAGGTTCTAAAATTACTCAAACGTGCAAATCCTCTGAAAAGGACGGTGGTAGACAGCATGATGTCTTCGATGGAAGAGTACATTGCTCATCTAGAGGAGAGAATTGAGGAGAAAAACGCCGAGCTCAAGGTATCTAATAACAAATTAGAAACGACACTCTCTGGTTTGATGCCTGAATTCATTGCTAAAGTAATATCAAAAGGCAAATCTGTACGACCAATGATGTTTCCAGCCATAGCAGTGGTTATCCTCGATATTTCCCATTCCTCAGTTAACTTCGAGAATCTTAATCCTCGCGACGTCATTGCCTTCATCAACGAACTGTGCTTTGAAATTGACCTGCTTGCACGAAAATATTCTGTCTATACTGCGCCAGTGAGTGGTTGTTCTCTCGCGCTTGTGCATGGACTGGAGTCGTCCAAGATTAAACCTGATGAAATGTGCATTTCGATGGTAAACTTATGCTTTGATATACTGTCACACGAGGAAATTGGCAGACTGACGAAGTCAATGGAAAATAAATTCGTCTTTCGTCTTGGTGCCCACGTCGGACCTGCCATCACAGGACTTTCTGGAACAACGTCACCATCGTATGTGGTGTTTGGAGACTGTATTGATGTAAGTCAAGCTCTCGCACGCACAGCGCCTGTCACGTGTTTGCACGTACATGTATCCGAGAACGTGTGGTGTGCTATAAAACGTAGCAAAAGGTTTGAGGCCAGTACTGCAGGTGAACTTAGTGTCAAGGTAAGTTACCGTTGACCTCTGTCGACGTTATAATTATTGGTGTACATCACTTTTTGTGATAAATCGCTAACCCAAATTGTTGTCCTACCCATTGTTTCTCACCTGACATAAGTCTTTTATACTCAATGGTAATGACCTTAGTAAATAAACGTCTTTGTTCCTTTACTCTTTTTCTGTGGAAAGTCTGATAATTAAAAGCTCATAAGATATAAAATAATTGGCCTAGCATATAGCAAAAAGCCAAAACCATTTTTTGGATTGTAATTAAAATTGGAGGAAGTAAGGGGTGGAGGTGGGCATATAAAACAATGAAAACTTGCAGAGCAAAATCAGGTGAATGGTTCAGAAAATGGCGATTGACGTCACGTTACTTCGTATTCCAACATAGTCACGTGACACACTACTGAAAGTATCAAGGGAAATGACCCAATTATAATTAGATTTCATATCCACTTCCAACCAAAACATTGAATACAAGCACATAAGTTAACAGGTTTAAATCTGAAAACAGAAGTTATAAATTACTTTATGTGAACATAAATACAATTATAACATCGTGTTTATGTGTTCTACTTGAAATTAAAGCACACCGGAGAACTCTGCTTGTTTTTTACCCAAAAATGACACAAATGACACAAGACATTTATTGTTGTAATAGAGCATTTATTCAAATGCCAAAGTCTAATAGCATTTAGCAAAATGCCAAAAACTAATATTATTAAAAAGAAAGTCAAAAACCTTATAAACCGATTGATGTGCTGCCTCAGACAGTCACGTCATATTGGTTTAAAATCCTGCACACAACATGTACCAAGGGAAACGCAGTATACAGAAAACATTGATTTGCTGACAAATACATTGAATAATACATTGACGGCCATGCAAACAAATGACCAATAATCTTATTGTATACAAAGTTCGTTGATATGCCGCCTCAGACAGTCATATTAATTGTCATACTGGTTTTGTATACTAAGATCCAGTGAAAACATATTCAGTCAGTGGTCAATCCAGGATCCCATGACCAAATGATCTCTTACAGTTTAATATGCCAGCTCAGACAGGCATCTCATAGTATTCTCCCAGACAGTAATATATCATGTATCTCAACAACACATCAATAAAAATAGGTGGTCATTACATGTTTCTTGCTATGGCAACATATAAAGAGGTTGATATGCTGCCTCAGACAGTCATATCTAATGCGAATGCAAAAATAAAACATTGGTGGTCAATGCACAATTTCTTCCATGACAATAAAACATAAATAGATTGATATGCCGCCTCAGACAGTCATATCAAACCTACAAACAAGTAAAACCTAGTATCTAAGTGAAGTACAAATATTCCTTTCATGACGATGCAGACTACAGTATTTGTATACACTACAATTAGACTGATATGCTGCCTCAGACAGTCATATCGTGTGCAAGCTTGAGTACTGGGTAATTATATAACGTTACAATTTAGAAAATTGTTTCAAGATTGAGTGCTTAATCGGTCGCATAAAAAGCAGGTATATTTTTCACTAATTTATTTGAATTCCGTCAAAATCTGGAACACGGATATATCTGTTGACTGCATCCGAATCCAATCGGCCCATCAGACGTGTATGCGACTCGGGAACGTTGCACTGAAAAACAGTGGTCGCAGCACCAATTCGAAAACTGTGCGATTTATAAGAATCTGTCTCCAGACATATGAAAAACAATGCTTGATTTAGTTGACTTGTGTAGCACACTTGTGAAACTGGTTGTCCGCTACCAAAGGAAAACAGCGGGCCGGATAAATCACCTCTCAAAGCCAGGAAACGTGCCAAAGATCTGACCGGGCAAATTGCTTTACAGTTTTGCTTACTGATGTGCAAACTAACTGGCCGTTGTGAAGAATGATGTTTAAAATGTCTTAAAGTCAGTACAATATGGCTTCCGCAACGTTTGGGATTAACAATAGACATGTTTTCTCTTTGCAAAATGTTTTTTATTGGAAATTTGTCCTGATTTCATCGTCAATTCCCCAATTCGCAAAAAGGCGGGAAAAAAAGACAGAACATAGCATGTAACAGAATACGATCAAACCGACAAGATGTAATATGACGCAATGGTTGTACGAATTGCTGGAGTATGTGTGGCGTTATAGGAAGACGAACGTCAGGGGTACCCGACAGATTACGTACACCCTTCAATGCCTTTTTGACAACAAAATTCTGGGTAGGATCTTGCAAACTGCGGATCTTATGCATGTAAGATAAACCCGCAACATACAGACCCGTAAACGTTCGCTGTTCCACCTTGGACGCAAACGGTACGGAAGTGCTACGCAAATGGTACGGAAATGGTACGCAAGTGCTACGCAAACGGTACGGAAGTGTCACGCAAACGGTACGGAAGTGCTACGGATGACGCTTACAAACGGTGATTCGTTTGTTGTGACAAGAACGGGTTTACATAAAAAGCGGAAGCACATAAAATATCTAAAACGAAACGAACATACCCACATAGGAAGAAACGTCAGTACACTGTAGGCTACGAGGATCGAGGCACATAAGAATGATTTAAATTTTGCCATTTCGTTTGCATAATGGATGAGCGTGAAAAAAGCAGAAATGTCTCCTGATTTATAAAGATAAAGGTCGATCAAATATTGGTACATGTAATATATCCATCACAAAGACCTGTCGTACGCTAACAGATCAACGCGACACACAGATAATAATCAGTTATGGTCAGAAGTATTTCCACCTTCTTACCGAATAAAAGACTAATTAGTATTGACAGTAAGTAAACTTGTTACGGTTTTTTTTAACGAGAAACGTAATAATTAATAAGCCTAATAATAATTAAAAAAAAATGACATAATGTCAGACTCCTGTGTTAAGGATCCAGTATCTCTATTTCTATTTTTTAATCGTCTTTAATTTACTACTTCCATACACTTTTAGATTTTGCGTAGGATTTGGAGACCAATAATGTGCTTAATTATCAGTACATGCAAATACATGCATCGGAGATTTGAAATGTATACATGTTATACCATGTCTATTAATTAAATTTCATTCACAGATAAACAAGTTTTTTTGTTATACATCTTTTATTTTATTATGAAAATGTAGTTGATTCTTGTTTAAGTATACATTGTACGTGTATCTTGTTACGGGAGTTATTATATTTATTTTTTTTCAGTTTGAAAGGCAAGCTCGTGCATGTAGGAAACTATTATGAATAAGAAAAATAATATGTACTAAATATATGTAATTTTTACATTCATTATATGTACCTCTAGTATTAATAAGAATACAGGTTTTCTTTATCGATCATAAAAATGTAGGTATCTATGCTGACTTTTCTACAGGTAAATCTTACCTGTCTGAATCCTGGTACAGGAGGAACTATGACTGTCTGGCACACCGTGAGGGATGTGTACTACAGAGGGTATAGCAATAGGGGTCTGATGTCAGATAACATAGGGACTGAGACCAAGTCAAACTTCAATATATCCACAATATGTATTTCTCCGTTTGTACCTAAACAGGCGTGGATCAAGGAGAGTGTGGGCTTAGGGCGATAGCTTCCTGATCAGGGTCCAGGGGCAATTAGTCACGGTAGAGTAGAGCAAAGTAAAAGGGTGTGGGCAGGGGAGGGGTTTATTAAATAGCTACATTTATCACTCATTTATAACATTTTTCACTTGGGGGGGGGGGGGGGGAGGTTATACATGCGTATCTATGTGAGGATGCTCACAATCTCTTGTCTCTAGTTCCACATGAAAACGTTATGTCGTTGAGGCAGAGACGTATAATACATTTACATTGTATTTATACGTCTCTGGTTGAGGGAAGATGATGACATTTTCCTGAAATTTCAAGTTAACGAGTCTCCATAACTAAGTATTTTTTCGTGAAACTGGTGATGGGGAATGGTACCGCACACAAAATCAAGTGAAAATGTTTGCTTTAAAGTATACGTCTCTGACCGTTGTCAGACTTTTTATAGACAACACCACAATAGATGAGTGGCAAAACTACATAACATTTTGTTTGTCTGTGCTCAATACATGTAAGTGTAAGTGCTACAATATTTCATATTTTGTCATACATGTACGTAGCCTCATCGCCTGGTTCAAGTTCAAGTTCTTAATTACTTTGAGTCGTTCGACTCACCAGTTACAAAGTAACAAAATTTGTGATATTAAATGTGCAAAATACAAAATAACATTACACAACATTACACACACTCACAACACAATTACAAGTGAAATTATACCTATTTATGATAATTAGGTTCCTCTCGAATTTGCAAATTTTATATATTTCCCTAATTTCTTTTGTATTTTTCACACTCAATAATCCTTTCAATTTAGATATGCTTGGCTTTTTAATATAAAAAGTTTTCAATTGCTCGCAAATCAGAATGACATGGTCCTCAACATCATACACACTCGACGATTCAATGTTTTGATATCGCCTTTTTCTAATTTTAAGTTCTGAGCAGATATTCTTTTTGATTTCTTTCAGATATTCTTTGTGTATGGGTTTAAGCAGGTAGTTTTGTAGATCAAAATGATCNTTAATTAATAAATCTTGTTGTCGTTAATATAATATTTCCAAATATACCCTAGGCCAGGTTAATCCCAGCCTCTGATATATACTGTCCACTGTGTAACTTGCTAAAGGCGCTAAGTGGTACTAATTGGTCAGCTGTAAAAGGTCAATTATCTTTTTCATTGAACCATGTAAGTTCATAGGTACACTAGCCCGGAACCGCTTGACTGATTTTTGACACCTTTATAATTACCACACACAGAGAGGGCACTCCGTTAACAAACTTACTATAGACAGAGACGTATTGTAATATATACGTCTCTGCTATAGACAACAAGGAATCACACTCTATTTTCTCAGGAACTCAGTCACATGATGACAATAAAGTTATCTTCATAATGATTTTTTTTAATAATTACTGACAAATATCATCATTTTCAATAATCTGATATGAAAAGTT